TGAAAAAGTCCAAACCCGGGCCCGGGAGAAATTTGGGGGGGGGGGGATTCCTAACCTGTGGGCCCCTAGGGATTACTGTGCAGGGTCTGAGAATCCACCAGAAACCCCAAGCACTGTCGCCTGAACGACGAAACTTAGGTATTTACTTAAAGCTGCTATTGAGTGAATTCATTAGCTTTCTGTGGGTGCGTTTATTTCTTCCACGAGCCCAGTGCATGTGACAGCACCCCAATAGGCTCTTGGTGTTGCGATGTACCCCAACCTCAGGCAGACCTGGACACGGGCCCGGGGTGCTCAAGGTCTCCACGGACAAACTGGGACCCTTCCCGTGGGTCAGCCCGGCAGAATGTCATGCTTTACCATGTGCCACGGCCCGGCCCGCCTTATTAATCAGAGTCAAGTTCTCACTGGGAAAGTGAGGGTCTGCTCGTCTATAGAATGGGCACACAGACCCGTCCTGGTGGGTGGAGGACAAAGGTTTCTAACTCTCGGAAGGCCAGGGTCAGAAGGACAGGGAACACAAAAGCTTTCTGTGAGGCTGTTCAGGGAAGATTCTTTTCGAGCACCCCACCCATTCCTCAATAAGATGACTAATTAGGTTTCCGGAGGTCAAGTAAGCAATGCCTTTATTAGCCTTCTGTCCACTCCCTGTGACGAGAGAGAACTGGCTCTACAGTCAGAAATCCAACTGCGATTTCAGATACCGGCTTAAGTGGATGTTAGAATGGCTTGTAACTTAAATTCTTAATCAATGGTTGGGAATTATTAGAAAGTATAGGAAGTCCTGAATCGGAAAATGGGGGATTAACCTTAAGTTTTAAGGAAAGATGGGAATAAAAAAAAACCCCACATGTTACCATTTTGCCTGGTCTACCCAGCCTGCATTTTCTCCTAGGGACTCATTTTGATGGGGACGCTCTAAATTGCATCATCCCAGTCCTATTATCACGTGATTTTTAAAAAACAGCCAAGTAGGCCTGACTGCCGGGGGCAGCAGTAACGCCAAGTGCCACCAAGTGCCCCGCAAAGGCTGGAAACCCCTTGGCCCACTGCAATTCTGATCCCCAGGTCAGCCTGAAATCACCCCCGTGGGCGGGGTGGTGGTGGTGATTTCTCGCCATCTCTCCGGTGAGCACCCTATAGCACAAATCTCGCTAAAAATTTTTATAAAAGAAAAGTGAGAGTAATTTTTACTTTAGACACTATCATTTCTAAGGGCTTCTGACATCATGCAGGTACGAAAACGAGCGTGGGGACTGCCATGAGCCGTGGCATTCTTCTGTGGGTGCACGGAGGCCTTCCCACTGGCTGACAGGTGCCGTCTCCACGGAGTAAACTCAGTAACAAGGACAGCATCTCCTACAATCCCAGAGACCCGTTTTTCTCACCAATGACCACAAGACTGGGCAGCAAAAGATCTTATGCCTTACGCTACACCGACTTTACAAAGCAAAACAAACAAACAAACAAACAAACAAACAAAAAACACAAAACACCAAACAAACCAACCTGTCCACTGGTAGTATTGGGTTGTCAGAAGACTCATAATGTAGTTTTAAAAAAATGATTATTTAATTCCACTTGTTATTATTTTTTAAATTTGACCAGGGAGAAAAAAAGGGAAAGGAAGAAAGCAAGCCCCCAGGTTCGGGGCTAGAACCACTGTCAGCCATGTGGGAGTCCAGTGTCCTTAACCGCATCACCTGGCAGCCCCAGTCAGGATGTATTTTTGCACAGAAACAGAAAAATACATTATGACTTTTCTGACGACCAATATTTGGCTGATGTAAAAGTAACTACAGTTTTGCATTGTTGAATTTTGCCTTTGGTACTGGAACATTTTTTATTAAAGCAAGACTTTTTTAAAAATTATTTTATTTAACTTTATTTTAATTTGACCAGAGAGAAAGAGAGAGAGAAAGCTGTCAGGTCTGGGACTTGAACGTGGGAGTCCAGCATCCTTAACCACCATGTCACCTGCCAACCCCTGGAACATTCTTAAATGTGGTTTTGTTACATACATTTTAATATGCACTTCGGATTTTGCTAATGATATTCCTTGCTGCTTATTTTATAGCCATTTTAGACTATGGAAATGGTGCTGCACAGAGACCGAATTCGCGTAATTTTCTTATTCGAGTTCAAAATGGGTCGTAAAGCAGCAGAGACGACTCAGCAGCAGCAGCTCCTCTGGCCCGGGAACCGCTAACAGACCTAAGGTGCACGGGTGGTTCGAGAAGTTCTGCAAAGGAGACGAGAGCCTTGAAAACACACAGTGTGGTGGCGGGCCACTGGAGGTGGACCATGACCAACCTCGGGGAGCAGTCACCGAAGCTGAGCCTCTCAGAACTACACGAGAAGTTGCCAGAGGACTCGATGTCAACCGTCGCATGGTTGTGGGGCAGTTGAAGGGAACTGGTAAGGTGAAAGAGCTCCTAAGGGGGTGCCTCATGGACTGACCAAAGATAAAAACCATCAGCGCTCTGAAGTGGCATCCTTTCATTCCACACAACCCACTTCTCGACTGGACCAGTTTTATACGACCAGCAACGACCAGCTCAGCGGTGGGCCCAGAGGGACCCCAAAGCACTTCCCAAAGCTCAACTTGAACAACGAAGAGGTCACGGGCGCAGCTGGCGGGCCCGATCCACCATGGCTTTCTGAATCCTGGCGAAACCATTGCATCGATGAGATGCCCCAACGCCAGGCCTGCAGCCGGCACTGGTCAGCTCTCCGTGACAACGCGTGACCTCACGGCACACAGCCAGTGCTTCTGAAGCTGAACGAACAGCGCCACCGAGTCTTGCCTCGTCCGCCATATTCCCCCGGCCTCTCGCCAACCCACTAGCACTTCTTCAAGCACCTCGCAACTTGTTGCAGGGAAAATGCTGCCACAGCGGGGTGCAGAAGATGCTTTCCGAGTTCTTCTAATCCCAAAGCACAGAGTTTTTATCCCAAAACACAGATTTCTTTTATTTATTTATTTTTTTTTGGGGGGGGGAGGTTTTTGCTATAGGGCGTGCATGCTCACCAGAAAGACAGAGAGACAGCAAGAAATCACCCCCCAGGGGGGATGACCATGCCACAATCCCTTCTCCATTCTCCTCTCAGGATCTTGGGCACACATGTACACGCACCCGGCATGAGTTTAAGCTACCGGGGTCCAGGACTCGAACGACGGTCAACTACATGAGAGTCCAGCAATGTAGCCATTATGCCAACTGCTGGTCCCTGGAAGCACTGATTTTTACACTGCAGGAATAAACAAGTTTATTTCTCACTGGCAAAATATGCGTTGATTGTAATGGGTCCTATCTTGATGACTAAAAATGTGTTTGAGCCTAGTCATAATGCTGTCAAATTCACGGTCCAAAACCACGCTTGTTTTTCACCAACCTAATCATTTTTGCTTAATACATATGGTATCAAACAGAATTTGAACAGTATAAAAAAAGTCTTTTAAGGTATAATGCTAACAAATTAATAAAACCAGTGGTAAAACAAAGTCATGAGACACCCCCAAAATTCGATCGTGCCCAGTCATGCAAATGTTTTCCTATATGCTGCTGCTTTAGAAAAGCCAGTGACAACTCAGCTTGTCTAGAAATTTACATTCCAAGCGGCCGGCAGGTGGCGTGGTGGTTAAGGGCACTTGACTCCCACAGGGCAGACCACAGTTTGAGTCCCAAACCAGTGGCTTGCTTTCTCACTTTCCTTCTCTCTCTCACTCTGGTCAAACTGAAGTGGATAAATAAAGTTCAACAGAAAATAATTCTAGAAAAGAAAAGAAATTTACATTCCAATATTGAAAAACCTTAGATGCACAGAGAGCGAGGACATACTTTTTAAAGGAAAGTAAAGGGGGGGGGGCACAGCACTTCGCTTAGTGGTTAAGGGGTTGTAATTCTACACGTCCACAGTTTGAATCCTGGGCCTGGCGGCTTGCTTTCTCACTCCCCCTGCCTCTGGTGAGCATACATGCCCTATGAAAAAATGTAAAAGTAATAAAAAGACGTGGCCCTTAGGGCTCTGTGCTCTAAACCAGGACTGCTGAGCAGAGGAATGAGACAGTTACAGTTGGGGGTCTGCATCCCTTGCGTCCACACAAGTCCGACTGAGGACAATTCTAGTTTGTCCTTGCCCAGAAGTTAGTAGAATCAGAGCACAATCAAGGTCGAAGAGAGTGACACTATTCCTGTCCTTCCACTAAGCAATCCAGTGACCCAGAGCCAGGGTATCTGCCCCCCGGTCAGGTAACGGCCCGTACGGTTAAGTCACCACCTTTGCTAGCACCTAGACACTGCTAAATGAGGGAACAGCCTGCTCAGACTTTCTGAAGGGAAAAGAGACCTTATTAGCACGTTTAGTGCTGATCCCCCAGAGCGGTGGTGTCACCAAAATGTTCTTCAGGGACGCCCACATGCTCATAAAGAAACTTAGCAGGTTTTACTTGTCTGGAAGAAAGGAGCCCGGAACACGCCTGTGTACAAGGTCGATGTCTGCTAAAGGCTTCCTGGGCCCACGCACTCCCCCGCTCCTGTGTGGCTTCCACCCTGCAACTGTGCCCATCCGAGACTGCGAGTGGGGCAGGGGCTGCGTGGTCAGGTCGGAGGGACACGTGGGAAGTGAATGTGTAAATATGCAAGAAGCAGACTTCGCCTTGTTACAGGGAGCTGCCTGGACAATCTTGTGCAGAGGTTTTCCTGGGGGCTTTTTAGTGGTTTTTTTGTTTTGTTTTGTTTTGTTTGGTCACTATGTGGTGTGATTATTTTATTGTTTGGTGAAGCTTTTTATTCACTAGTAATAACTAAGTTTCTGAGTGCCCCCATTGGCTCTCAAGTGTCCTGATTTGGATAGTAACAAGGTTATGCTAGTTACGCAGGGCTCTAAGACGTTCCATAGAGCCCAGCCAATCCGAAAATCTGCCCACCTCTTCACCTTCAACTGCATCCTCCTTTCAGGGCTTTGGGGTCTCTAACCCTCGCTCCAGCCTCCAAGGCCGAAAGTATTTTCATCCATCTAAACTATCACTTGCCATTTTTACTGTCTCACAGCTGTACTGGGAGGCCAGCTGTGATCTGGCCAAAGACTGAACGCAGAAGCAGACAGGAAAATCCAGCTGCTCCGTATCAAGCCAGCCACTAAAGCAGTCGGCAAGTGTGTAGAAACGGCGCCACCCCCCACACTTACAGTTCTGGAAGGCGTTTTCATTTAAAATGTTATGTCATGTTTTTAGTGTTATTTGTAAAATTGTGCTTCTAAGGCTTTAATTTTGAATATGGTAAAAATCCACAAGTATTAACCATATAATCAAAGGCTCCTGGGGCCCACAATGGTTTAGTTTTCTTTCTTCCATGAGTGAGAGACAGGCAGAAAGAGAGTACGTGAATGCACCCCAACTGGGTGCAAATACCACGACCCACCCCTACCTTTGGCCAGCCCTGGATCGTGGGCAGACGGGGGCCTGGCATACTTACGGAGGCTTCCGGTCCGGGCTTGAACCAGGGACCCTCTTATCTGGGATTCCTCAGAGTGTCACATTTTTACCACCACCTCGTTGCCTGTCCCCACAATTTAAAAGGGCAATTGCCTCCTGAGACCAAGAGTCTGAGAACCCCCAGGTACATTACTGACATATTAGTGCAAATGTGTGGCTTACTCCCACCAGACATTAAAACAAAACTAAGAACTCCAAGTGGGGACTAGAAGAGAATGTGGGTGAGCGGTTGCACAGCGGTGCGAGTAGGGAGGGCATTCTTGCCTTGGCCACCTGTACAGACTGCACCTCCTCCACTTCCCTCGCGGCCCTGGCATGCCATGCTCCGGCCAATTTCCAGCAAGCCCCAGGTGCCTCTCTGCCCAGAGCTGCGCTGCCCGCTGCCACAGGCGGAAGTGCAGGTAAGTAACTCCCTGCGGTGGCTTTACGACACCTTCCAGAGTCTCTGTGAGGGCTCCAAGAGCTACAGTCTGGTTCCCCTCCCTCTGAGTACTGGCTGGTGGTATTCACATCTGCAGTGAGGCAGTGGGACCAAAGAGGACCCCAAGCTGGGTCCTTCTGAAGGAGAGCTGGTTTTCCCTTGGTTCACACATGGCTGCCTCTCTACGTGCCCTGGAAAGCCACACGGAAGAAGCCTAGCTGTCCTGGACCCTTCATACTGCAGAGACCAAGTGGAGAGACCACACAGAGAGTGAGCATTAAGAAGGCCCGGATGGTCCATCCCAGGCACCAGATCGAACGTGAGTAAGGAAGCTTTCAGACAGCTCCCACTGCAGCCCGAGAACCACCTGGCTGAGCCCTGCCCCAGTCAACCTCCGGATCTGTTAGAGGTTGTAATAAAACACAGGGCCCGCCCCATCGCCTAGTGGTTAACGGGAGCCAGATCCCACATGGTCCACTGTTTGAATCCCAGTCCCACAGCTTGAGGGACATGCCAGGTATGCGTGCACGCAGGCCTCCTCTGGCTGACCTCAGGTTTCTTCTGTCTGCAAAGCCCAGCAGTCGGTACTTCAAGGTGCTCCCTGAATCTCCCCGCTTCTGTTTTTCTAATTTGAGCACACAGATCTTTGCCATTAAGCATACCTATTTTTCTGGTAGACTTTTTCGTTTTACATCAGACCTTTCGAATTTGCAGAGCTTTTCATTTTAAACTGGGGGCTTTTATTTTTTAGCTGCTTTTTTGTTCATTTTGCTGCTCCTGGCTTTTTGAAATGTTCACTCTGCCAACTCCATTTTCTTAGTCTTCCCCATTTCACTCCCAACTTCAAATCGACGCCTTCCATTTTTTTTTTTTTGCTTAGCTTTTTAAATTTCTGCCTAGTTTTACCAATAAATTTTTTAGCCTTTTAATAAATCTTTCAGTTTTCCAAATTTCTTCTTCGCCTTTTAAAGTTCTTAACCTTTCAGTAAGTTTTCCTAACCATATTACTAATTTCTAATTACTCTCCTAGCCTTCTAATAACTCAGCTTTTTCTAACTTCTACATTTATTAACTTTCTAAATCTTAGCTTCTCAATCTCCTAACTTTTAACTTCTAGATTTCTTAGCGTTCTAAATGTCTTAGTTTCTAAATCTCTAAGTTTCTGAACTTTCATGCCTTTCACACACTTGACATCCTTTTCCCAGATGTCAACATTCAAACATACGTCTCTCTTTTGGAGAAGTTCCCCTGTTCTACGCCCAGCTGGCTACATCCACTCCTTACTCTCTCGGTTATTTATTTATTTTTTTCTTTTCCCCAGTGCTGGCCTCTGGGCTGTCCACTCACATTATCTTTCACGCTCAAGGTCCCTGTTCGGGCGCCACATGCCCTAGCCAGAGGGCAAAAAGACAGGGTACCCTGGGAAGGACGTGGACTGAGAGAGGACAAATAAAAGCGGGGGGTCGGGCGGACCAGCACCCCTGCTGGAGAACGCTGTGGGCTTCGAGCTGCTCTGTGCTCTCTAAGAGGGGAGGCAAAGCCGCTGCTCAGCTGCGGGGCACTCGTGTACTAACGAGCCTCTCATGGGCCTCTCTGGCTGCCCTCAGGCTCCTTCTGCTATCAAGCCCCGCAGCAGGATCTGTCTTTGTTCAGGGCCTGTGCAGGTCCTGCAGCGACAGCACGAAGGCCATGTGCCCTAAGACGCTCCCTGCGGTATGCCACATAGTCCAGGGAGCCATCATGATGCAGCGAGAAAAAACTGGAACATGCCCCCAAGAGCAGTCTCGAGCAGCAACTGATGGTTTTGGTGGGATCATTCTGAGGCCAGTGTCTTACCCAGTTTTCTAGAACTTTCTAGGAGGTAGCTCTCACTGTGGGAGTTGACCTAATAAAACACCTCTAATGACTATCTTTTCTTCCCT